CTCTTGTTCGTTGTTTCTTTCGATTTCTCTCTCTTTACACCACCATCTTCTCCACGTATATTTGTGCACAATCATTACCGTCACCGCTCATTGCCGCCGCCTCCTCCTTCGTTACCACGTAAGACTCTTTCTCTTTTTTTCGTTATCTTTCTCATTTTTTTATTTTTATTTTCCAGATTTTCCACCGCCATTCTTTCATCGTTTTCCACATTTTGCAACGATAATCATGTATCAAACTGTTTGTCCAACTCCATTGAATCATGTGTGGCACAAATCCGAGAATTTGACCCCATTTTGTCAATGCCCCAGACTTGAATGCAAATCTATCAAAGTTGTCGGTACTCAATATACTTCCTGGCAACTCCTCTGACTGGGGAATAGGGATTTCATTTTGCATTTTAACTTTGCCAGAATCTTTATAACAGATACATATCCATATTTATCACCTTCAGATCCATAGATTGATCCCGCCTCTCTCACTCTCTTTCCTCATCACCGTCACCATAGTCGTTGTCGTCCACTCCCCATGACTCTCTTTCGTTATTTTTCTATCTTTATTTATGTATTAACAATAGTGGTCACATGACTATAGTCATGTTCAAATATGTCTATAGTCATATTTATGTATTTTTTGAATATGACTTGTAATCATATTCGAATATGACTATTGTTGAATATGATTGTTGTCATATTCGAATATGTTCTATCTTCTCGTTTTCAAGTTGACTTCTAATAACTAGATTCAAAATTGTTATTTTTTGTGTGGATTTTGATTGGATTGCTTTCGTAAACAATAGGGAATTTTCGTTGTTTTATATAATTTGGTAAACATGACTATAATTTGGTAAACATATAGTCATATTCAACTATAGTCATATTCGGAGTTGTAAATATGTCGAGAAAAAAAATTCAATTTTTTGTTTAAAAAAAATTAAAATATATATTTTTATTAAAAAAATATAAAAACAAAATAAATAAAAATGACTAAAATTTCGAAAATAATAAAAAATAAAAAATAAATAAAAAAATCATTTTTTTTTTGATTTGGTAGCAAATTTATAAGAATTTGGAAGCAGATTTTAAGAAATTAGATTATTGTTATGGAAAGAGAGAAAAAAGGGAATAATTGAGAAAAAAGGGAATAATTAGATTATTGTTATGCTAATTGACATAAGGGTAGAATTGGAAATACAAATTCTAGGGGGTTATCAGAAAGAAAGATTTAAGGGGTGGACATATCACCATTTAAAAAATAGAAATTTTCAATAAGTTTAAACTGAATTTTCGCAATGGACAACCTTAATTACTTGGTGATTTTCGATAAGTTTATAGTGATTTTTTTGTAATAGAATACATTAATTACATAATGATTTTAGATAATGTTATAGTGCGTTTCAATTTGTTAAATACTATATGTTTTCTAAATCGAAATGTAAAAAGATAATTTAAAAAAAAATCAAAATTAAAAATCATTTTTTTTAAATGAATATATATATATATATATATATATCTTTTAAAGAAAATCAAAATTTTCTAATTTTCTTATAAAAACAAACTTCTGAATAAAAATAAAGTTAAAATAAAAAAAACACCATTTAATCAAAAAAAAATTAAAAAAAAAATTAAAAACATAATAAAAAAAACGTAATTTTTTTTAATTGAAATAGTATGAGATTTTTGAGAGATTTTGGGGAGGGTGGATATTTAGGAGAATTATTTTGGGAAAATAAATTAAACATAAAAATCAAAAAATACATCAAGGGTAATTTAGGTATTATGCTATGGAGGGCATTATCAAAAAAGGGATTAAAAATTGGATTTATCCTCTTAGAGCAACTGCAATGCTAAATACCAAAATTGAATTATCAAATGTTCATTTGATATTTAAGATAATATTTTAAAATACATTTAAAACTCATATACTCCAACCATGGTAATCAAATTTTATTATCAATTGGAAGTTTTTTGATAATTTTATATGTAATTGTCACTTGTCAATTTGCGACTGGTTGGTTAGGTGGTTATTGTTTTGATAACGCAATCTGCAGGAAGTATTTTTAGATTCAAAATGGTGAAATATCAAAATACAAATCCATTTTAATAACCCCTTTGAAGAACAAAATTTTTAAATTTTAGGAGTCAAATGGTAGTTAACAGATTTGATAACTCATTTAATAACTCCATTGGAGTTGCTCTTAGAGAAACTCCAAGTAAACATCAAAATATGATTATCAAATACTCATTTGATAATTAAGATAATATTTTAGGGCTTATTTTATATACATACCTAAGTGGGTACTAAAGTAGGGATAAACTCAAATCGGATTCTTCCTTTGACATACCTCCTGGAGAGGCGAATGTACTATACTACCCTAATATGTAATTTTCGGCCAAAATACATTTAGCATTTTTTGTCCTGTATTTATCATTTTCGCTGATTTATTTTATATATATATAATAAACCTCTTAGTTTAATTTATATATTTTTCTATTAATTTTGTTTAATTGTTTTTTTTTTTTAAATCAATATGTTTACTATACTGAAAATAACTATATGTAACTGTAGTAAACTATAGTCATTCGTAGTTATGTTCTTGTTTTTTACCCCATATTTTTAGTTGATCAATTATGTACACATACAAATACTGACTTATACAAAAGAAATTCATAAAACCCAACAACAAAAAATTACAAGTTTCAATATTTATATTATAAATTACCTCATAACCAATAAAATACAAATCGAAAATACAAAAATATATGCATATGTAACTACATGTAACTATAGTAAATTATAGACATTCATAGTTTTTTTTTTTTACACCATATTTTTAATCGATCAATTATTTACACACACGAATGTTGGCTTTTACAATAGAAATTCATAAATCCCAACAACAAATATTTAAAAATTTCAATATTTATATTATAAATCACCTCAAAACCAATAAAATACAAATCGAAAATACACAAATATATGCATATGTAACTACATGTTACTAGTAATGTATAGTAATGTATACAGTCTGTTAAACACTGTAACTTGAAGCAGATGTAACTTCAACCAAATATTTTCACACCTTCAAGAAGAGGATAATGACTTTTCATTAAGCTGCAATAGCAAGATCAAAAAAAAAAAAAAAAAAAAAAATTAGTGCAAATCAACAAAAAATGAAAAAATATCAAAACACTCAAATTAACAAACACTAAGAGATCGAGAGATAGATAGAGAGAGGCCATAGCTGCAAAATGCTAGGGATTTTAGACCAACCCGCCAATGAATCCTCACCCCATGTGCCTCCTACCAAAACCTTAGCTGTCGCTAACCACCCAAGATTCTGCGCTCACAAATGAAAAATATTATAGAAATAAATCTGACAATAAAAAAAATGAACGAAATTACTATCAAAATATAGATCTCGACGAGAGAAATCTAAAGGTGGGTAGCCCGTCAAATTCCGACTACCTAAACACAAATTACACCTCCACACCTCCCGCAAGACCCACCATCTTCGAGATATGCACGGACTGCAAAACAATTGAAAAAAAAGATAGAGTGCTTCACACTAAATGAAATCACCACTAAAAGAAAGAGCTCGACGAGAGGAATTCAAAGGTAGTTAAACCATCGAATTTCGACCACCGGCGAGAGAGTTATGACTCCGGGAAGCAACTTCGCTGGTTGGAGATCTATGGGGGCGGGATTTGAATCTAAGATTTGAGAGAGGAAGAGAGAGAGACGACTGGGAGTGGCTAGGTGTAAAACTGAATTTAAAATGGTATTTTATGTACTTCAGGGTGGCCGAGGGGTATATCAAATTATTATCGAAATGAATGGGGTTTGCACTAGTGTGTAATCCTCGTGGTAGTTAGTCCTATATAATTTCAAAATGAGGGGGTCTCCAAAATAATCCCAATATTTTAATATGCATTTACAGTTTATCTACTCCAATAATCAATAGGAAATTTTTTAGGGGTTTTATTTGTAATTGCCACGTGTCAATTTGTGATTGGATGTTTAGGTAGTTATTTTTTTGATAACTCAATTTGCGGGATGCATTTTTACATACAAAGAGGTAGAATATCAGAATACTTACCCATTTTGATACTCCCATTGAAGTAGAAATTTTAATTTTGGGATATCAAAAAGGTGGTTTATGGGTTTGATAATCCATTTGGTAGTCCCATTGGAGTTAATCTTAGAAAATTGAATGAGGCGTTAGACACGGCCATGGGCCGGTTTTCTGTCCGGAACCGGCCTGTTTACCGGTGAACCGGTCTCGGAACTGTGAACCGGCCCGTGTACCTCGGGACGGGCCCGGTTCTATAAAATAGGTGAACCGTGAAACGCCGGGCGGTTCACCCGGATTTTAAAAAAAATAAGAAAAAGCTGAACTGGCCCGATGAACCGGCCGTTACTTGCTCTTTTTTGAATTCCCTCCTATAAATACCCTCTCACCCCATTTTTTCCTATTTAAAAGTAATTTTTTTAAATTTATTTATCCATCAAATATTATATATATATATATATATACATATATATATATATATATATATATATATATATATATAAATTTCTGGGCCGGTACGGAACCGGCCAGAATAGGCCCGGAACCAGAGTGAACTGGCGGGCCGGCCTGACCCGGCGTACCGTGTGTAGTACGTGCCGGTTTCGGTTCCGAAAAAAGTGAACCGGCTCGAACTGGCCCATGACCTTGTCTATGATGGGTTATCTAAAATAGCCCCATCATGTATACGAACTAATGTAGTTGATTCCAAATCCATTTTATATAAATTCGTCATCAGAAATTACTTACACATATAGTCATGGGACGACCTAGGGTATTTTAAATCGAAGGTTCAGGGAAGTGCCGTTGAAGTTTTTTTTTTTCCGAAGTATTCACATAATATAGTCGATATAATTAAATTTTTGTAGACTTTAAATTAACAATAATATAAACTTTAATCATATTATTTTTCGATCAACATGCATGAAGTATAAATATTAGAATACTACAACATATAAACATTAAAAATACAAAGGAATATGAGAACAACGACATTTTTGAGAGAAATTTAGAAATTTTGGGGTAATGATCAACCCCGTACATAATAAAATTATAACAAAACAGATAGTTTGACGATAGTGAAAAATAATTAAGTTGCACGTTACAAACTAGAACCCTATAATGGATAAAAGATGAGAGATAACTAATTTATTCTTCAGGGCTCGTCAAGCAATGGACGATCATCATCTGGTAAATATGCAGTTACCGAATCATCCAAATGCATGCTCGTTGAGATTGACGAAAAATCACAAGACTCGGCATCCTGATCACGAATTGAAGGTACGTACTCTATGTTGCCTTCTTCATTTTGCATGTTATAAACTGTTGAATCTTCTTTCATCATTTGAATTCCTTCCAACTCCACAGCAACTTCCTTCATAGTCGGCCTTCTCTTTCCGTTCAAATTCAGACATCTCTTAGCAATCTCTGCAATAGCCACAATCTCCTCTCTCTTCCCCTCTTTCAGCACCCTCGCATCAAGTATGTCGAATAAGCGATTCTCCTCCATCGAGTGCAGGAAATGTGTCGCCAAACTTTTTCCCACATCTGCCCTAATCGACGATATAGCTTTCTCCCCTGTCAAAAGCTCCACCACAACAACACCGAAGCTATAGACATCGCTCTTGTCCGTAAACTGGCTCGATTGGAAGTACTCTGGATCCAAGTAACCGAATGTTCCTAGTACTCGTGTTGTCAAGTGTGTCTGATCGATACCGATCGATCTTGATGTCCCGAAATCAGCAACTTTGACACGATACTTATCATCCAATAATATATTCGTCGACTTGATATCCCTGTGATAAATAGGTGTAGAAGCAGAAGAGTGCAAGTACGAGAGCGCCCCCGCTACTTCTCTTGCAATACGCACTCGCATTTCCCAAGATAAAGGGAACTCCTCGTTTGGATCGTGGACGTGTTGGAAGAGTGTGCCGTTGGGTATGAACTCGTAGACTAAAAGTGGAACTTCGGTCTCCAAACAACACCCCAATAGTTTGACGACATTCCTATGGTTTATCTGTGATAGAATAACAACTTCGTTGATGAACACTTCGAGATCACCTTCTTCTAACTTCATGGACTTTTTGACAGCCACAATTCTTCCATCAGTCAACATTCCTTTGTAGACGGTACCTTGACCACCACGACCCAATACACGATTTTCATTGTAACGATCAGTTGCTTGTGCCAATTCCTTGGAACAGAACAACTTGGTCTTCTCTAGGCCGTTCTCCGCTAAAGACAACTGTTGTTGCAATAACAAACGTCCTTTTCGCTTGAAAAACTTGCGTTTACGATTAGCCTTGATTCTTTTTCGCACGACTGTGGCGGACTTCCATGCCCCTATGAGCAAAATTAGTGATCCGATCGCGCTGCCAACACTGATGAATGCTATTTTGACTCGAGATCTATTAGTACTCCCGTCATAATCCCCAACGCGGCATGTGTACCCACCTATTTTGTTGATACAAGTCCCATTATAACTTATGCAACTAATTAATTGTGTAGAATTAATTCTACATTCATCTATATCATTGCATCCGCCAAGTAGATATGGGTTCCCTTCGTACCCATATGCGCATGAGCAATATTGGACTGAAGATCCATAACCATCAAATAATTCTAAATCATAATCAATATGATTTGATGATGGATAAGATATGCTTCTGCTCAGATATCTGCAGGATCCAGGATAATCATAAAGTGTGAAATTATGCAGTTCCCACTCAAGCACTAGCGGTGCAGATCCAAAATCTTGATCATACGGATTTAATAGATTATTCTGAAGGCCCTTGTACCTTTTGTATCCATCTTGGAACCATTTTTTTTCGACTGGAAAAGCATAACCACACGAGCTCTGATTAGTACCAACTTGATTAATGCCTCGGTAAGTATAATTAAGGCCCTTGAGTCGAGGTGGGATTGTTGTCTGGCAACAGTTGACACCATTGCAACTACTGTCTGTTGAATTACGGTCACAAATTGCCATGCACCCGCCGACTGTGGCTGTCGCGTTAGCACGTAGCCAGACCGAATTCTGACATCCCAAAACAACCAATGAGTTGTACAGGCTAGAGACGGAAAATGGAGTTTTATCAAGCGACCTTACCAAAGACTGTGTTTCTTGCGTATCGGAGCATTTCATAGGTGCAACAGGGTTCTTTACTGTGACGGTACCGTGCACAGAAAATTTGAGTGCTTCCATACTTATGATGTTCAAGAGTGGTACTTCTTCTGATCTGTTGGTGGTGGAGTTTTTGGTGCACGTGATTTCGAAGGATGAATTGAAACTGCATGAAGAGCCAATGCCGAAAGGATATGGAATTGTAATGTTTCCACACTCTGATCGACAACCAGGCATCGACATATTAGATATTGCTAGCGCTAGAGTACTTGTGGTGACATATAGTGATGCAATGACTCGCAACATAAAGGGTATCCTCATTTCTTTCATTGTTAGCCACACTTTAAATTCTCTTGGAAAATATGTCTGCATAACCAATGAGAAAATGATCAAGATTTAATTGAATATCTATATGCACATTTATAGAGTATCTAGTATGTAATTGCGGTGGGCTTTGTTGAGATGAGTAGAATCTCAAGTTTATATATATGCTTCCCCGTTCCATATTATATGTCATTTTTTTTAGTTCCGCACATATTAAGAAACTATGCATAAATTATATCAAAATAATATAGTAAATAGTAAAATATCATTGTCATTAATTATTTTTCAACTAACTAGTTAAGAGTGATAATGAGGAAAATTGAAGAAAATAAAATGCAATTAATAGTGTCTTGAAATTCAGAAGTAACAAATAATTTGGGATACAAAAATTCTATGAAGTGACAAATACTATAGGAGAAAGGAAATACTATTCAAAGCTTGCATTGGAACAACTCTTAGAAGCATGTTTTTGTCTATAAACATCCTAAATGAGCCGGTACTTTCGTTTACTTTCCAACACGAAGACTTGGTAAACAAATAGTGCCATGTATTGCTTATGGGAAAAAAAAGAAGTAAATTTCGAGTTTACACGTATTATATGTATTTAAGTGTAGGATATTTTTTGTTATTTTTCGGCCTCGGCCGAATTTATTTTCTTGAACGAACCCATACCAACACTATAAAACTCATCCAACACTATAAAATTGTCATGTGCATGTGGTATATATCAAGGTTTCAAAAAGCGGTTGTCGGATCTGAAGCGGTTAGCGACCGTCATACGATATGCGGGAATGATTAATTAGAGATAACACGGAAATAAATCGACTTTTAGATTTAATATTATATATTTCTAAATTTTATTTTGTAAATACTCAAAATATATAATAAAAAAATATTTAGACATGGGTGATGTTAAAATAATTGGGTTGAAATTTGAAAAAAATAAATAAAAACAAAAACTCCTACCCTATTTTCCTTTTAATTAAAAAAAACATATTTTTTTTCTGAGTTATTGATGCGATATATCAGTTTGACCCGCCTCAAACTGGCACACACCAAACTGCCATAAACCGCCTCAAACCTCCTCAATGTCCAAAAACCGATTTTTCAAACCGCCTCACCAATATTGTAAAGATTTACGACCGCCACCGATATGACAGCCGATGTATCGGTCACCACGATCGATATTTAGAACACTGGTATATATAATAAATTGTAATACGGTCAAATTCTATAAATGCTAGAAAAATCGATATTGCAATAAAACCTTTGACACACAACCACGTGTATAAAATGGCAATATTTTATTTCTAAAAAAATATATTAGTATATTACAATTGGCCCATAATGAAATAGTATTATACTCCATTCTTCATATTTTAATTGTTGTTTTAGGCTGATTCACATATATTAAAAAAAAAACTAATAAATGTGCCTCGATTCTAGAAAAAGAATATAGTAAAATAACTAAAAATTCATTTTCATAAATGTTTTACCAATAATTTTCTTAATAGTAGTAAGAACATAATTGAGAAAGCACAATAAATACTCATTGGAATTCTAAAGTAGACAATTATTTTGAAATAAAAAAATGGGTTAATATGCTACAGTCCCTAGTTGGAAACATAGTTAGATATGGAGTACAACCCTAATATTTTTATGAACTAAATCCTTTTTAGAAAAATAAATATGAGTCACATCCTCAATTTTTCTTTTATCCCTAATTTGCTCTTAACCTAAATCCATAATTCTAAAGTCCTCTCTCTCTCTCTCTCTCTCTCTCTCTCTCTCTCTCTCTCTCTCTCACTCTCTCACTCTCTCTCTCTCTCTGTTCACCAGTCCAATCCATTATTGAGAGGGACGGTGGTTCTGGCGGTGGCGGCAATAAGAGGATGGTTATT